GAAAAAAAGGTGTTTATTAGCGGCATTCATGTAAACCATATAATAAAGCACCTTTTGGGACAGTGGATGAATTTGTGCAGATCACAAGCCTTGAAAAAGCAGAAGAGGTCTTTCAGTTCAGATGGAAGAAAAAAAGCAGCAGTGCAGATAAGATGGAAAGACACATATTCCTAAAAGGCACGAAATGCTGATAGAAAATGCTATAGGGAAAAAAAACTAAGGAGTGTCACAGGCTGTGGAAGTCTATGGATAATTTTACCAAATGGGTATTTCAGATTTTTAACTGGGCTGTAATGTGGCTGAAGACTCAACACACCTAATTCCAGTCCTGGAATATGGTCAGCAGTTGTCTATTTGCAAGAATGAGCAGAGCACAGGTTCAAAAGAAATAAAGGACTGAAAAGGTTCTATAGTATTAATCATTAAGTATCATAGTATTAAGTATTAAGAATTAAAAAATACTTCTCAGTAACACACATTGAGCAAATTGCAAGTAACATGATTTGGAATCATGCTTCTGAAATAGTGTATTATGAAGTGACTGTGAATTCTAATTAATTTGCCATTAGATACTCACGGTACTTCACTGTGATGATACATAACTGTCATGGTAACAAGATACTCTCATTTTGAGGCCATCCTGCTATACATCATAAACCTACTGATACTTTTGATGATTCCACGGTATGAACTCCCCAAAATCACACTCCTATGCACTACAGTCTTGAGACAATCCAGGTTAAAAGGATGGTACCTTTTGCTAGTTTAACTCTCCATTGTTTGTTTATTCAACTTGTTGATATAAATTAACTAAGCAGTTAAAAATCACACATGAAATTTACATGGTCCGTGATGACACTAAACCAGCCAACACACTAAGCTCATCTTGTTCTGAGATCTGTATCTGCAATTAAGTGGTTTTTATAATATCAAATTCTGAGAGTTGCAAACAGTTAGCTTGTTCTCTACTCCCACTAGCTAAAACAAGATTGGATTGGTTATTAGGAAAAATTTCTTCACAGCTCTAAGATGAAGTAATTGTATAAATCATTGCTCTCAGAACCTCTATCTCCAGATGGCCACCTAGCCAAGGGCACTGTGTATTTGGTATCCATTGCCATACTTTATTTTACTGGATTAGCAGTTCCAGCATTTGCTGGGAAAATGCCTGTCACCTGCGGGGTTCTCAGGAAATTCAGATATCAGGCGTTCAGATATCGGGGTTGAAATAGAAGAGCTACACTACGGGCTAAGCGTTCTGGGAGGCCACATCCAATGTTTGAGAGAGGTATTCTCTCCTTCCAGCTGGGAGTTGTAGCCCAAGTTGAAAGAAGGATTTCATGTTTGGTATACTGATATTTTCACATGGCTTGGTCCTTTGTCTACATAGTTGTTCTTCCTGGAAGACAATCCTTCCTCAAGTTTTCACAAAGGCAAAGAAGAATTGCCATTTTCTGGCCAGGTACCTCACCCCCTTGAGGATCCAGGTGCTTACTCCCTTCCTGAACACCTAAAATCAGCCAGATAAACATTTCTGTCCCCATCATTCACATCCTCAAAGCAGCAGCTCTCCAGGGCAATCGCTTGTGATTCTGTATGCAGCTGCCACAATAAAACATGTAGTCTTGATCAGCTACATTTTATGTGTAAAAATTGCCACAACACATCTGCGTTAAGAAATCTGCAAGTTACAGTTTCTCAAGCTCCTTCTCATCATCCTTACTACTGATCTAAATCATTACTATTCCATGAAAAACTTGCTTGCACAGTGTGTATACTACAGCAGGCACCCATAGCTTCAAGTCCACATCCAGCTCCTTGAGATCTTCAAGACCAGCTAAACAGAACACTCCAATGACCAACACTCAGATGATGACCTATGGATGCAAATGCAGAATTCATGACATTGAGCTGAATTCCTTGTCAGAGCTTCTTGACACCAGCCTAAAAAACCTCAGCTGTGGTAAACTAAGAGTACCAATTAAGATCAAGTAAACAAATAATAAGGTGAAGTGATGAAAAAAAAGAGTGTAAATTGTCACCTACACTAATGAGAGCTGAGGGAGATGCTGCTAAACTGATTTACCTGTACGTTCCTAAAACGTTTCATTAAGGCATAGTCCAATTCACTGCCAAGGCCACAGAGCAAACCAAAAGGTTAATCTCTATTGCATTAGGATGCACCAACCTTGTAACTTCTGGTTTTCTTTCTCCATTCTAAGCAGCAGTATCTGCTGAATAATAGCTTTCTTCCACAACTCACGAAGCTCACGGGGTGTCCGTTTCCTTTCTTCTTTCACTGGCCCGAAAGGGCCATCTTCACACACTGGTTCCAATGGGGATCTGGGTGGAAGTTCTCCCAGTTCAGAGTAATCTTTAAAGGAGAAAAACTGTTGTGAACTACTTAGATTTCATGATTAGTCATTCTGAAAGACTGAATATATATACACATGTATACGTATGTATCTGCTTATATACACATATACACACATACGTATATGAGAGGTAGCAAGACTAAGCAAGGTTTACCAAATGATAGTTTCAGGCAGGTTTAGAAGAAGCTTCCGGATAAGAATCATATTGGCCAAAGCCTGGAACACTTTTCTTCTAGAACCTGACAAAAACGTCGTACCATGCACCGAGACCATGGCTTGCTAATTACAGCTTTACCAGGACAGAACTAAATGGAAAAGGCAAGTTTGAGAAATTGCAAAAATAAAACCCACAGCTGAAATCTGGCATGATTCAAATAGCAGATCAAATCAAATATAGCACCCACATTATTTAAAGAATCATTTCTGAACTGTTTAACAAAGAAAACACACACCCTTAGCTGCACAAACACACCACCACCTAAGGCCATACACTGGGATGATTAACAGTTCTTAAAGCAAACATGCAGAAAGGGAGACAGGCACCTAAGACATGTTTGCTCTCACTTCTAATTTTTAACCATATCATAACCTTCTGCACTTTTTCTTTTGGCTTCAGCTGGTCTACCACAAAATGTATCTTTTTATCAAGCATGTAGGGTAATTCTAAGACTTAAAACACTACAAAAGAAAGTAAATATTAAGTAAATGTCAAGCAAATTGAGGTTTTTTGGGTTTTTTTTATTTTATTTTTTTTTTTTAGGAAAAGAACAAACAATAATGTTTTTAATCCAGTTCTCAACACGAAGCCTAAGTTCTTGTACTTTGTGTTCTTAATGCCTGTTGTAGTACCACTTAATTTTACTGGTTTACAAAGCTCCTCTGAAGGCTCAGTAATCTTTGATGTAACCTCTATCTAGAAGAAAAATTACTCAATTGACCACCTTCAAAATGAATGGTCAAACCCACCCATCTCTTCCTACCACATCCCAATGGAAAGCCACCACAACAGCACTTCTCCTTCAGCCCAACAGAATGGCTGTGAAATGTCTTCCCAAGGACAAGCTGACCAGTTATCCATGCAAGAATATGCTTTAAAATCAATGCAACAAAAACCATTCCTCAGACTCTCCAGCCATGCACAAGTACAACTGTGCATGCAATTTCAAATAGCTCCTGGAGAAGAGGCATTCCCGAAACAACTATTCTGATGGTAGCTCAGTGGTCCACTGCCTAGCACAGTGATACAGATTTTAAATTAAACACACACATTATCTCATTTCTACAAACTAACAAAATAGGAAGGTTTTCACCCCTTCAAATTCTGCTCAGAATGCTACACCATATATTACCTCACATAGTTCATATGCAGCTATTCTTTTCTTGTTTCTTCAAGGGCGCTCACACAACTGAGCTCAGATGACTAAGTAAGAATGTAAACGTTCACAGCTGTTGGCTTCTGCTTTTCTGTTTTGCCACTGTCAATCTTTTCCTCTCAAGGAGTCAGAGATAAATAGGGTGGGTCCAAATACCACCTGTTTCTTTATACAACATTTATTTGCTTATTACCACAGTTAAATTCAAGAGCTAAAATATACATATAAAAATAAATGCAACATTTTCAGCTAGCAAAACAAATTAAACCTTTACAAACTTGGACTCTGGATACAAGTGCAGATACCCACACTTTGGGTATTTACAACATTTCAGAGAACAGCAAACTTGACAGGAATGAGAATTAGGCCAAGGACAAATATTTGACACTTTAATGGCAACCACCATTTTCTGCAAAGCGTAGGAAACACTGACAAATGTGTTCAAAAATACAGCTGGTTATGAGAAATATTCATACAATGAAGAAGTTGTATTATACCCCTTGTAAGAAACTGGGAAGCATTAAATTTATTTTCATTTTTCTTTACAGGTAAATGTGAGCTAAGATCTACAATTATAAAAGAGGTTTAGGTAAATGTCATCAAGTAAAGAAGGAACACACTTTATAATTTTCAACTTGTGCTGACAATGAAAGGAAAATTACTTTGATTTATGGTTTTTGATGCACATACTATACTGCTGACAATGTTCTATAAAGTTTTATGTAGAATGACTACATATAGTTGCATTCATCCCAATTTTCCTTAGCGAATATTAAATAACATTATAAGGAAAATGCTCTTAGAACCAGCTTCATTTGCTTGAATAAAATAATGAATTTAAAAAAATAAAAAGACCATCATCAAAGGAAATTGGTTGTTTCCTCTAAGGCTGCACTATATGCATAAAATAACATTGCCATAAGAAAGAGGAATTAATGAAAATGGTCACCAAACATCAATGCAAAAAGTAAAGAAGGTTCCTATTTGGATCACTTTATCTTTCGTACACTATCTATAAGTCTATTCACTTCTTGTTACATTCTCACAGCATCCAATATAGAATGCACATACATCTTGGTGGAAACAAATCTCTTCTCAGCCTAAACATTGCCTCAGTGGTTTATGCATCGCTTTTAGAGTCAGAAATGTATTCTGGTTTTATGTATGTATATATACACACGTGTTAGAAAATTAATATTAAACTATCTACAGAGACAGTTTAGGGTTACCTACTAGCAAAAAAAGCCAAACCAAACCAAAACAAAAAAAACCCAACAGGCATGCATCTGTTTGATGCATGGAAATGAATTAAACACATTGCATTCCTAGAATCTTCCTGGTTTTAAGGTACACATTCTACTTTCCCAGTGCAAATTTTGTGGATTGCTCTTCACATATCAACTTAACAAAACATCACCTTCTAATTTATCAGAGATATTACTCACTTATCGTCCTCCACTGACTGTGGCAACACCCGAACCACTGCAAAGCATTAATTACTCAAGACCATGGTCCTGCTTCCACTTAGGCTGAAAATTTCTTGTCCATTACTGACTAACCCGATAAGAGTAGTATTCACTAAAAGAAATTTAACTCACAATGCTTAAGGCTATAAAAGAAAGCAGAAAGAATACAAAATTCTATAGGCTGAACAATTATGATTACCAACCCTACCTCTAATTCCTCTGTAGAAGAGTCCTAGACTTGATCTTGCCTTCCAAATAGCAGCTCGGTTTCTATCTTTTCTTCCCTCCTTCTTATCACTTGTGGACATTTAACAGAAAGTCTAAAGTCTACTTTGATAAAGTGCAACACATTTACAACCCTCCTTCCCTCCCGTCTCCATGCTGGCATGTGGCAGGATGTATAGAAACCAAAATGAACCTGTTTAACTGCTCAGGTGGCCTGTCTTAAGTTTGCAGAGTTGCATCAGCTGTTTGGCTGGTAAAGGAGGGGAGAAGGTGGAATGTGCAGGTAATCCCTCAAAGCAAAGTAAAAATCCAGACACAAATCCACGTTCCATGTGTGTACAACAAAGTGATCGACAGACATGCCATACAGGTTCCAGATCCAGACAAGAGTAGAAATACTGTAACAAGAAACTGAGTATTTCATTATTATGCACAAATGATCTGGAGGGTAGCAGAGAAAGCAAAGATAAACAGTAGAGCCATTCAACTGGACATAACTAGGAGTTCACATTCCACTGAATCAAATTGCCATGTGTTAAAATCCAAGCAATGTGCAGCCTTCAAAACTTTCATGAGATTACTAAGTGCACTTCAGCATGATCTGAACACTTCAGCATACATGGAAAGACTGCTTCACTGTTCATCTGCCACCCTCATCAACTTTTGTTGACTCCCGTTCCACATTTGACTTGTACTCCTTTCAAATACGTTGCTCCTTTCCCTGCAGCTTCCATATAAAATTCTACCTCATAGCCACAGAACCACACTTCTACTCTTTAAGATTCAGGACTGGGCAAGTAACTATTACTTTATTTTACAACACACAGGTTATTTTTCATTTGAAGTTTATACTTGAGTTAGCCTTCAGTATTACTCTTCTGCACAACACACTTCTACATGTCTCTGGGTCCAAACTAAGTATTCCTCAAGAAACAGTGTACTTCACTGGAAAAGCCACCAGCTTTCCTGTGCTTGTGAGAACTTCCACAAGGTAATGACCTGCAGATGAAACTGCTCATCAAACAGATGGAGATGTTGCACAAATGTATTAGTGCATCCACATATACCTCAAATGCACTGCTTTGATGCTCCCACCATTTATGCTACCCAAGAAAAGACAAGGCCAAAGGACTGAGATGGAATTTGTACAGATCTATTCATTTATACTCAGCTCTTTGACTTCATGTGGCAATGCTTGAATCCTAGAATGCATACTATACCTACAGTCCAAAAGGATCAACAAATGCGTAACGCAAAACCCTCACGTACAAAGATAACACACAAAGTACAACGATTATGAAGAAAGTATCACAGTATATTACTACCAGGCACCACACTAAAGAAAGCAACTGGCTTTACTACAGTATTTTCAGAACTAGTCATTAGTTAATTAATAATTTTGTTACTAAAAAAGAACCACTAAAACAGTGTTGGAAGACATATTACACATAACTTACACCACATAAACATTCTAAGTAAAGAATGCTACAGCAACAGTTCACAGTATTTGCAGTGCTAATCCAAAATTATTTAAAAAATACTTTTGTCTAAATAATGGAAGAGATATAACCCTCATCACAAAGTTAGGTAAGTGCTAATGACAACGGGTTTTAAGAATAACAGTCCTTCAAATCCAAACTTCTCTGCAGCATTTAGAATTTAACAGTTTGGAACCTCTGTCTGCCAGACAGTGAAGCCCAATTCATTTCAACAAACAAATCAAGTTCTTTTTCCTGGTCAGAGATACTTGTACTTTCTAAAAGAATTCTTTTCTGCAACTCAAGTTGTAAAATACTATGTAGTAGTTCTAGCTAAAGTTCTTTTTTTTTTTTCCCCCCAACTGAATTTATTTTCTGAGTGCAGCTGACCAATACTAAGCATCTCATTCCTCTGAATTGCAATTTTTCACTGCCTGACATGCAGCTCCACCCCACTGCCCACCTTTGAAATAAATCATCCATTCTAAAACTGACACTGCTGTTTTAAAAATCTTGCTGTCCACTGCCAACAACATCCTGCAGCAAGAAAGCTCATGACAAACACCATCACTTTCCCACCACTTACTTCTGGAACCTGTTGACACCCTCTTTAAATCTAGTACTTGACCTTACCCTGCTGGGAGTTTCTGACAATCTGCAAAACAGATCTCCCACTATGACAAATTCTGAACAGTCAATATGTGAAAATTGTAGTGAAAATAGCCAGCTGCACAGAGATTTGTAGATGCTGAATAAAAGTATGCAAATATCCTGCTGCACTGCAGCTCAAGGAGAAGTTTCATGATCACTCTACACTGATGTGTCCTGCTTCTGAGCAGGGTAAGAGCACCCCACCCTCAGCTTCCATGCACATGTCCCTGTCTGCCTCCCTGTGCCTGCTCTAGTGCTTGTGTAATACCAGGAGTGGGACTAGAAAACTGATCTAGCTGAAAACTAATCACCTTTTTTGAGTAAGCTCATACTTCAGCTGGTTTAAAATGATCACCAAGTCGTTCCTTTCTCTTTTTACCAGCAAAGACGGAGAACTAGGATGTTCTAAATCATCTGCATTGCCACAAAATGCGGATCTTGTTAGACAGACTCTACAGAGGTATGAAGATCCAGCTGCAAGTAGGGTGGGTAGGTATAAAGGTAAAAATCAAAGAACTGAAGAAACATTTTTATTATTTAGAATGTTTAAGACAGTGAGTGGGAGAGCCAGAGTGAGTTTTGTGCACTCATATACAGAAAATAGGTAAAAAAAGCTTCAGAAAAAGAGGTCAACAAAAAAACTTTCAAAAGAAATATAGAATTGTAACACACCAAAGTGTGATCCATTTTGTAAGTGACCTGTTCTCTTTTTCCATCTCTCCACTTTTCAGGATACAACACTCATTCCACCCCCACAAATAAATAAAAAAGAAAAATATCAGAGGACAAGACACTGAGTATGTCTCAAGGTGGTGGTGTGGCGGTGAGAGAAATGCTGCCCCCCAGTGCTCCACACCACCCGCAGCAGCACAGCCATTCCATGGGAAGCGGCAAACAGCAGGTTAGGTTGGACATTTGAACTGTAGCTTGCTACAGTAGAACTAGCATCATTCAACCCTGCAAACATCCAGCTACCAGCTGGAAAGCAATAAAAATCTCTACAGAACATTCCACCTATGCAGAAAATCCTTTCTAGATCTCCAAACTGGAGATCAGCCTCATCTTCAGGTTCACCAGAGATCACCTGGCAGCATCCACAAACAGGAGGTGGCTGGAGGAGGATCTGCACTTAGCATATCACTCCCATAACAGCCAAAAGTAATGGTACCCTATACCCAAAGCTTTCTGTTGTCTTAGAGTGCTCATCTTGCCTAAGTGCAGCTGGTTTGACTCCAGTCTTCAGAGGCGAGGCAGGAATCTCAACTGGCAAGACAAAAATGGCTTTCTAGTGTATCTATTTGCAATATATTTTTTTAATATCCTATCGATTTAGAACTGCTTTTCATTATACTACTCTCCTGGACACGTACAATAAACCCCTCCTTTTAAATAATGGTGTCTGCAAAACAAATGGCCTGGAATACACAATGCAACCACCAAAGCACTGCCAGCAATCATTTCTCTCCAGCTGAGCTACAGGAAATGAAGATTTAGCTCAAACTATCTGGATCCTAAAGAAGTACAGCATCCAGAAGTGCAAGAGAATGGGACTCAAAGTGCTGTCAGCTTCATGTGAGAACTCAGGACACCAGATACGTCCCAAATTCAGAACCTCATAAGATTAAGCTCAAAATTTCAGCCAAAGCTATGTACCATTTGTCTGGGTTTTCTTTAAAAAAAACCCAGACGTTTAGTAAACACACCTTCATATCCTGCTGTGTTAACCACACAGAGCGGCAATGAAAATGATGTGTTCTGAGATCCAGCTCACCACTTGCCAATACCAATGAAATCACAAATATGGGGATCTAGATTTTCCTGTGTGTATGAAGTTAAAACTTATCTCTATTTCTTGTGACATCTTACACATGCATATTTACTGATTACAAACCAGTTAACTGCCACAGAGCTGTATCATTTTCTTGTCAGTGCCTGCCCATATGTGGTCAAAGCAGTACATAGTTTAGGCCTATGCTAAGCCTGAAAAACTTTTATCATCTCTGAGTCACAGAGACCCATGTCTCTTACCTGGCTTACTTTTAAAAATTCCTACCCTTTTTTCTCACTGCTCTCCTGCAGAGTACCCTGGATTGGTGTATGGGCTACTGCATTTGAATAGAGAAATTGGTCAGCGGAGTCAGTCTATAAAGGGAAACTCATAATATTCCCTTGTTTCCCTGTCTTTATGCTTACTTTTGCAGAATATGACATAACATGTCATCTTGAAAACCTTCTTTGCCCTCTGTCCAATTAGGCTGAAATCAATCTTCTGGTGATACACCAGCTGTTTGCATAACTTCTGTTTCCAAAGGAAATCAAGCTAAAAAGAGCGAGAAAGGCTAAAAGTACAGGTAACTTACCAAATCAATAAACTCTATTGCATGTGCTGCTTCTCCTTGAAGAGAGGAACAACACAATGAATGACAGTTATATTTACTTTGGAACCACAGAGGTTACTAAGTTAACTGTGGTGGAGAGTCCAAAGTAAGATCATCTGTATAGCAGCTCTCTCAAAGGCTACAAAGGCTGGATCATGGATTCATTACTGCCAGAAATGTTCCAGGGGATGCATGAAAACCCAAATGGAAAACCCCAGTACTAAAGTAAAATAAAACAAAGTAACGTAACATAACTCTGAGTTTTCTCTCTGGGTTCATAAATCGAATATGTACATTGAACAAACACAGAAAAAGAAAACAACAGTAAAGAAAAAGGCCAGATATTTTAAATTGCTCTTTCTATTAATAGTACGTCCTGTTTTCATTTTGGCCATGCTTGTTTCTCCAACTCTTCTGCTTATCCAGCTGTAGGTTGTTAAGATTGTATCTTGCCGCTATTATGTCTCAGAGGAAATGCTTTGATAGGCAATTTAGGGGTTTTTTTCCTATTTAATATGGGAAAGTTTTGTGGCTTTTTTCCTATTTAATATGGGAAAGTTTTGTGGCTTTCAAAACCAAGTAAGACTATTTCCAGTCACAAAAAGATGCATCAAATCTGCAAAATCAGTAGCTTCACAGAACAGCTGAGGTTGATCCTTCACATGCCTTGCGGCATAGGGGAGCATTTCACGTGTATATGTACACAACATGCTCTTGAGATCACTTCATTCTGAAATACACTAAATTTAAGAGGCATCTATGCCCATACACAGCTTACCCCAACATCAGTCAAATTACACTGCAAGCACTACATCAACAACAGTTGTGTTATGTGCTGTGTCCAGTTAATCAAAGTCTCTCTTTAAGATGCAAGAAGGAGGTAGAACTTGCAGAGCTCAAGCTGTGAAATTCAATCTTTAGAGACCCAGAGACCATTATCTACAGACACAAGCTTCTCTGAGGCATTCTTGGCATCAGCATGTGCTGTAGTATCTGGCTTATACAAAGTGAGAAGCATAAAATGATGCACCTGCATGCTCATGTGCGGTGACTTTTTTCTAGTGTGGTTCATTAGCTTTACAGAATTTTAGGAAATAAATATGAGAACAGTGGATAACTATGGCTCAAGTGGAAAAAGTCACAGAGTGGAGCAGCATACATGTAGTCAAATTCAGTCTGGTATGAAGTACACACTACAGAACTCGACTGAGGTCATAAAAGAAATTAAATTCCTTCTGCTAGGCCTGGATTTTTCTAGTCCATAGTTCTATATTCCAGCATGGAAAGATGAAATAGCAGCCTCACCATTTCTTCAGATAAATACTTAGTGACGCTTTTTTCCCCTGAACTCATTAAAAAAGTATAAACAAAAATAATTGCTTCTCTAGCCAGTTAGTTTGACACAACTTTGGAACTATGTTACACATAAAGCTGAAAACTAAAAACCTCAACAGCTGATGAGCTTGGCTCCACCAAAGAGTAGGTGGGAAAGTGCAAAGACAGTGCAAACAGAGCACCAGGCAGATTTGTCCGCTCAGTAGACAAAATAATCCACACTACATCCACTAACAACATTCATGGAAGCAAATAAACACAGACTTTACCATCATATCGGCTGGGAGAATCACATGCTTTCTGAGGGGTTGCCACTCGCAGGAATATCTGTTGCCTCCATGAATGCCGTCGAGTCCTTACAGGGCTGTCCTCACCAATGGCCTGCTGGCTGTGTTTGGATTCGTAGTCACTAAAATTGCGAACACAGAATGGCTTGTGAGTAGCTTGCCTGAATCTGCTAGCAACGGTGACACAGTCTTCAGTGAATATAACAACAGTGACTATCAACTAAAGAGTGCGGTGTGCTATGCACATGCTGGGTCCAGCTCTTAGTGTTAGGAAAGTGAAGCTTGCTTTGTGGCAGCAGGCTTATACGAGGCTGCAAACATCACACAGGTTCACCAAAAGGGGCTGACAGCTCTGTGCAATCTGCTTTCTCCAATTTTAATCAATTCTCAGCTTTCTTTGCAGCAGTGTATGAAACACAATGCATTGAAGACACATACACCACAATGTATTTTTACCATTCTATTTTAATGCCACCAAGAAAATCTAGTAATTATTCATAATCAACACCAACTAAACTTGCAACCTTCTGTGAACTGAATATGTAATATATTCGTCCAGAACAGAGACTAAGAGCAAAATTTTAACCTTTGTGTTCAGAAGCCACCATTTGAAATAGGCAACAAACTTGGGAATAGTGTTCATGAACCTTGGATGTTACTTCTCTGATGTAATCCATAAACTACATACAAAACTTTTTATTCAGAATATTAAATGAAATAGTGAACAGCAATACTGTTTTCCTATTACAAATCCCACTAATAACTTTTGGCCATTACATCTTTAAAATATTTATTGCTTTATGGAAGCATAAATGGAATACGCTTTGGAATACGCCATTGGCTAAAGGCTTGGATGACTCTTTGTTGAAGCTGTAAGGGATAAATGAACTTCAAATAGCTCTGGTAGAAACTGGAAGGAGCATTTTAGAGTCATTCTCTCCTTCCAATTTTGGGATACTGACACTACGTAGGATGAACCATGTATATTCTCTTAACTGAAAACTGCTAATACAGTTCATTCGCAGGAATAATCACAGAAGTGCATAGGTGGAAGTTGCATGATCATTGTAACATCAAAATGGCTAAGTTCTGCAATCATAACAGGAAAGGAATCTGGTATAGCTTCATCCTTTTGACAGCAACCACATGCAGAATACATGGAAGTGAACTGTTGCACTAATCAGATTTTGCAAGTGCAAGAAGCATTTGAAATAGATGAAAGAAACCTTTGAAAATACAGTTTTACCTGCAGGCTTTAAGAGAGAACCCTACCTTGTGCTCCTAAAGTCACAGGTGTTATTTTCATCTACAGGAGCCAGAAATTTTAAGAAATTTGGCACAGAAGAGGAAGAATGAAGCTTTTTCCTTAAGGCAGTACGGTAGGAGATGCTGAGAGTGCAGTTGGGAAAAGTATAGTTTAGAACAAAGAAGTAAAAATCCACAGAATAAAAATAATACATACTGAAGGTCTGAATGTCAAGGAAACCAAAGTCAAAACTGAAGCTGCTAACAAAGCGCTACTTTGAAATACATATTTGTTTGGGCAAACTAAAATGTTCCAATAAAAATAAATGTACTTCCAGTAAAGTTGTTATTCTTTGCTATATCCCAAGATTTTTAGTTTATGTTTCAAGTAAATTTCTTTAGTAAGAACTGATGCCAACTTTATCAATGCACATTTACTTAAATACCAGTTTCAATGACTAAGTTGGTGGGAAAAGGTTAGGAAAAGCTGACACTGATTATCATTGTAGTGGCAAATGAAAACTAAGACTTTGGCAAAAAACATTTTGTGAAGCATTAACAGACAAGCTTGGAACTTTTAAGTAAAAAGCTGAGCCTTCTGACTGATCATTTAGGGCTGTGGCTGTATTTATGCAACAGACAGGAGCACTAATCAAATTTCATCAGCAGTCTTCTGGACAACATAATTTTGCTCTTTCTTTTAAAATAACAAGCCCCCAACATGCTCAGAAGAATGCCAATAGGATAATGAACAGGTTTTACACAGAATTAAAAGATATAAAATTATTTGGCTAATGATACTACAAGACCATTTCTCAGAAGACTACACACAAATACGTGAGTAGAAGAATTTACCCCTGAAAAAGTAAGCTTAAGAAAGAACTGCTTCTGATAAACCATAAATTATATATCTGGATGGCATTTAGCACTGTCTCCTGAAGATGTGAGGAGGATGGGGGCTACCCTAAGATAAGCATTAGTATGAAGTCAAGCTGTTCTTTAGCAGCTGGTACTGAGCATGAAGACAGGTTTTGCTTAAAATCATATTGTAAACTAATCACCATTACATGGTAATTTCATTTACAGAATACAATCAACTTGGGTAGTTTGACTTTATTGATTTAAACTCATTAACCCATTAGATACCCCTATCAATTTCTATTTTCAGTCCTGTTGCTTAGAGGTGTGATATGGTATACCCTTAAATGACGGAGAAAGGTAAGAAGTTGCTATTCTGCATGCAGAATCATTACCAAATCTACTTGGAAAAATCTACTTTTGAGAGTTCAACCTTCAGGATTCAAGTAAGTCTTACTAAAATGAAGAGTAAACTCATTTCCTACACCATACTTTGAGGTGAAGCTAAATTAAAGAGATGCTAGTTCACGAATACAACTGAACAGGTGAAACAAGGTTCTCAGTTACGTATTTTCTCAGGGTCAGAAGAATCAACACTTTTGGGAAACAGAAAACCTTTACCTGAGAGAACAAAACAAAACAATAAACAGCAACAGCAGTAAGAATTGCCTACCAATGGTCAATGATTCTTAACAGCACTTCCAAGGACGTTCAGTCTCATCAGCCTTTTGAACTAAGATAAGCAGTTTTAGCTCAAGGGGTTACGGAGTTTCATGATTCAGATTTTTAGGGAGCTACTTGTTTCAGGTTTTCGGGGAAATGATGGGTTAATATCCTTTCCTCAATGTTCTCTATACGTAAACAATTTCTAAGAAAGGAGGCACAGAAAAGCATCATTTGATATGGCTCTAAGTAAACAAAACAAATACATCCGCTGGTGGTGAGTTGAGCTTTTTTGATTGTTTATTCTTGGGTTTTGGGGGGAGTATTTTTCTGTTTGTGGGTTTTGGTCAGTTGTAGATTGTTTGTATTTTTTTTTTAATTGGCTCTCCACAATCCTACTTCTTGCCCCATCTAGTTAACTTAGCCAATTTGCCCTTAATGTCAGGCACAAAAGAGTAGCAATATGTTTGTGTGTTACCACAAACAAAGCAGAACAGAACCAAATGATTCAGGAGGGACAGAGTGAGCTAGATCACAGGTTCTTGGCAACTCATTCTTTGCACAATTTGAGTAGTGCTGCTGTCTGCTGCATAACAACAAGTTCCTTTAGAGCCAGTTGTTCCAAAGCAAGTCATGTGTCCATGTGTCTGGAAGAATTTCATATATTAAACAAAAAAAATTTGTTAGGTAGCAGCTCTACATTAAGTATTGGAGCAGTTAAGAATCCCCTCTCCCATAAAAATCTATGACCTTCGATCAATATTAAATTATTTATGCTAGAGCTTCATGTTTATGACACGGTAAAACAAACACTACCCCAGACTATGCTAGCTAGCTCACCTCTTTTGTGCAAAATGCCCACTTTGTTCTCCGCTTGAATTATGCCTTAGATATTTAAAGAAGTTGGGCGAAGAGGCCGAAGGGTTAAGACGAGCTAGAGTAGGAGAACGCGCAAGTTGACCAGAAGAACTTTCAGATTCACCAACAGATGCGTTCAAACCATATAGTGAGATTCCAACCAGAGTGATGAAGTTGAAGTAGCACAAAGAACAAAACAAAGTAAGAGAGGAAAAGGGGTAAAGGGCAAGGGGGGGGGGGGGGGAAAGGAAATCACTTCTCTACTCTTTGAAAAAGACGTGGCATAGACAAATGAGCCAGTTCCTATGTTTTTCATAGTTAATGCAGTAACTGTAAGAGGCCGAACATTTTAACCCGATCAGCAAAGTCCCAAATACATATGTACAGGCTTCAGCAAGGCATTTAAGCATATGACTGTATTTAAACTCCCAAAAAACTGTCACTGACACACCCGTTTCTTCTCCCTCATACACACTTCCCCTTGGTTTCTATGATAAAGCCAGGCATATGATCAAGAGTTCTAATGGATAAGAAGTTAAAATACTATGTAAAGACCTGAATTTACTTACACTTTGGAAGCAATTTAAGAATTAAGGTAAGCTGTTCAAAAACACTTATAAAATGTGCAAGACTTGTTAAAAGTCTGTAATTCCAGTGATTTTTGAGAACTTTAAGTATACGTTTCTTCTAAGTTTTCCATTTCCCCTGGTTCTATACATTTGCTACAAAAGGGAAGCAGTGATTTCTTTTTGCTTTGAGTTATGTGAGGAAGTAGGCACACTCAGGTGTTACTAAAAATTACATGATCAAACCCACATAAAAATAACCAAGGAAATTCAAAATTTACTTAATTTCTAGCTGCATTCCTACAGTACAATAAGAACAGATTGAACAAGAAGCTACAAATAACAGGGCAACTCTCAACAAACACCACAAGTCTTAAACTGCACTACAAAAACATTCTAGTATTTTAGAATTAAAAGGTTCAAAGAAGGGACAAAAAGGCAACCCAGGTCATGTTTCATTTCAAAGACTATAATTCTCATTTTTTCCACTGTCATCACCTATTGCAGGCATGTTCTTTTACTGTCCTGCCTCCTGCAGGGAAAAAATGAGCTGGAACACATACAGATTTCCTAATAACTTGTGTAAATGAGCAGTTTGGCAGCAAAACAGAAGCCTACAGACAGAATGTTTCCATAGTAATTAGGAAAAGCCAGCTAGGCGGGGGGAAGAAAACTGCCATAAAGTTAAGAAGAGGCTATAGAGATGTGGAAGCAGGCTTTTCAAGGAGGACAGCTTGAAGAATATTAGCATGAAGGCAAGCAGTAGCTTGTTTTTATGAGTAAAATCTGCACAGGCTTATTGAAAAGCTAGACAGGAGCCCCACCTCTATCGAGAATTAGGCAATTTATTGTCAGTTTCTGTGTTATTTTGAAGTCACACATGAATACACCAACTAGTAAGGTTTTCAGGATCACAAATGCTACTGAAATTTTCTCTATACACAATAAGAAGTAACATTTCTTTATACTGCTTGCAGATCAAAACAAACAACATTAAGGAATACTGACTGAAAAAGTATAATAAAACCCTGTAGAGGCAATCCTGTGTTGAACTTACACTTACACTGTGGAACTACAACATCTCATATTTTCTCTCCTGTCACAGGGCTAGAAGTGTTTTTAAACAGAATACCTACGAAGCTGTAGTGAGTGACACTGCTGTGATACATTTCTTATCCATTAAGAGGACATACCTGGTATGCAATTATCATCCCAAAATATGACCTCAACAAACAAAATCATAGCCTGCTTTTAGTAAGTCTTACTTTCTTTTGTGAGGAGTCTCTGTGCTCACTGAGTGATACCTCATAAGTTTCCTCTGGGGAACAGACGGTGATGTTTCAACAGGTACCAGAGATTCCTGGCTTTCTGTTGGCAAATGACTCAGTGTGTTTGCTCGCCTCCGAAAGCTTTGCTGAGGTAACGTAACAGACTGCTCAACTGGAGAATCATCTGCATCGCTGGAGAGATCACCCACTGATCCACTGGTCTTGACAGCGTTTTCTGTAGGAAGCGCAGGAAGTCTGTCTTTCTCCTTTTCACACAATGGTGCTTCCTAGCAGTGCAAGAAATAAGGTTATCAATCTTATCAAGAGCTATCAGTCTTTGAGGTTGCAGTCTCATAATCTCACGTCTCATTATTCACATCCCAGAGATCTGCTTTAAGCTTGCACAGTTTTATCATGATAGCCTAAAGAAAGAATCTTTCATGTTTTATGTCTTTGTTATTAATTATTTAGGTCAGCAAATTACAGTCTCCATTTTACAGAGGAAAAGTAATTTTGAGAGTAATTGTATTTTATGGTATGTTGAATACAACTCAGAAGAAATGGGGTCAGAACAGTACAGAAGAGTCAGTTTTGGGTAACAGTGACAGTAATGAAAAGGGTGACATTTCAGAGTACTACATGATTGCACCCATCTAAGAATATAATATTCCCATGACTAGATGCCTGTTTCAGTCCAAACCCATGCATTTTTCTTCATTCCCCACCTCATGTGTTTCTTGCAGAGCTGGCCATTCTTTCAAAACATAAGCAGAAAGAACAGATTCTTGATTACCTTAAGTCATGAGTCCATAGGTGACTAGGCACTAGAAAAAAATCAATAGCTGTATCCAAACCTGCAGAGTACTAGGATGCCTCCATGGAAGAAGACTTGCTTCTTCTATGATGCTTGTTTATATTGTTTTATTCAGACTAAAAGCTTTCTAACCATTCAAAGGGGGAAGTTACTCGACCTCTTGTTTTGAGTTTCATGTTTCTCATTAACACAATGCTGCATTCACACTATATACTTTCAGGGCTGAAACCAACCAGATTAGGATCAGCAGCATGATAATTATTGCATTTGTTTTACTGCACATTGTTGCAAGATTCAGATGACGTTATATAATATTTTGACACATATAGACTCACACAATAAGATACATAAAAAATTTATGTTTATATACAGCACCAGGCTTTTCTAATTCAAATGGAGACCCAATTGCACTGCTCGCTTTTTACAGCATGGGAAACAGAATGAAAAGCCTGAAAGCAACTTGAAACTTCTGGAGAACAGAAATACATATTTATTAAGAGTCCCATCTTGCCAAACAGTACGGAAATCTCCAGTGAACCTCTACAGATAACATCATCCTACATGTCATCATTGTATTGACATGTCACTGCTATTTCTTAGCCTGAATGCCTGTTACTAGAGTAAACTAGGAAATTGTTTTGCTCAACTTGTCCCTCAGAGGACTCATACACATTCTAACAAGTTCCATACATGAAAAATTATTTGTATAAACAACTTACAAATTCTAAGAAACCTTAAACACTGCTTCAAGCTGGATGTCAGAGAGGAAAGGAGAATGTGGGGGGAAGGAAAGGCAGTCATTGATCCAAGAGGCTGCCTGCAATGAATGCAGCCCTGTCACCCCTCAGGGGGACTTGGCACAGGAATAAAGACAGAGCCTATGGATCAGCAAGCGGCAGCAGGACTCTTAGGTAAGAAAAGGATATAGCTTCCCTCCTTACTCTGTGATACTGTTTTTATCATATTGTTTGACTGTTCTGGGGTTTATTTCTTTTCACACACATACACAGTTAGCTCGTTTAGTCCCAAAAAATAATTGAAACGAAATGCAAGATATTAGAACAGAACAGTTATATGAGCAGTTGGTAACCACATTCCACATCTGACTAGTTTCAAGAAATATTATCTGAAGTTTCAGGAAATACTCAGGATATATTATCTGAAGTTTTCAAGTATGCACATTCACCTCAGGCTTTACTTACTTTACTTGTGCTGCTTAAGGAACTGGACATGGAGCTGTCCAAATCCACAGCACCAGCACTGTCTGGCAGACCTCTGGCTTTACTGCCCTGCAGAGATAAAGCACACCAGCTGTTAGGACTATGATGTATAGGGCATACCAAAGAAAGATTTGTGTAGCATAATCAGGATTTTTAATTTTCACAGACAGAATCAAATTAAATTTAAAAAAATATATATAACGAAAAAAATACAAATTGGATACACAGCAAAACATAATTTATGGTATTATCATTTCAATGCCTACAAATCAGAAAGCATAAATATTTTTGCATACTCTGTTCAACAATATCTTGCTATAATGTTTTTATGTAACCAAGAGAAATATCAAGAAACATACTGATGGGTTCTTATATGCTAACACAACTATGGAGTTTCTATCTCCCTCATCTTAAAAGGTATGATTTTTTTATGTTCTGAAGTTAAGGTTTATGTTCTCTTTGAGCTATTATTCTAGGTAAAATACAAAATGTTGTTATTCACAATAGTGACTATTCTCTCCCTGAAGATCAGGCAAAATGCCTCAGATCTAATCAAAATAAAGAATTTCTATCAGAACAGCCATGACAACAAAAATGCAACCAATATATGCAAGCACATCTGTGCTTATGTGAAGACGGCTTATGCCAGTCAGGACAAATTGGCAAAAATTAGAACAGTAGCTACTATAGTTTGTGTAACACCACTAACATGTTTCATAACTGAACACACTCACAGGAGGATTTTTCAGAGGTGAACTCTAGAAATGCTGGCTTGGAAGTAATGAGGGGAGATATTCAACTAAAAATCTTCTCTATGTGCATAATAATAACAGGGAGAACACACTTTTGCTTTCATTTGTTTCATGGAAGCAGGTTAGATACAATGGCTGAAACAAGCTTTGAAAGCCTTGTTTTGTCACTATTAGTTGCATGTCTATGAGCCAATAAACTGTACTAGGTCTTTGTTCAATTTAACTGCTGATGAGAAATGACTGCCAAATTTTTGTTCCTTTAATACTTGTTTGGCATCCAACCTGGAAGGATAACAAATATGACTTTTCTATCATTCAATTAAATAAAACAATGAAATTATGTTCAGAGGCAATAAACATGATAATACTTACACGTGACAAAATGCTTTCAAATGATTCTGTCAGAGATCTTTTTGCTTTGTTCTTTAACATATCTAATCTGAATCTCGAAGCACTGCTGGGCACTTCATTGACAGCATTCTCAGTAGGGGGTTGTGAAGTCTGCAAGTGTTTAAAAATATAAATGTGAAATACTCAATGGCATGAAGCAGGAACTCAGTGAATAGTCTGAAGACTTCCATAACCTGGATCAATACTTTCTGCTGGTGTCCTTGGCATTTTATGCCTTTCAATCTTATACTGAAGTTTAACAAACTATCCTAACATAAGACCAAGAAATCTCCTGAAGGAAATGTCTTGAGTGTTGTAGATTCAGAAGAAGTGCCCCTTCAATAGGGATAAATTTTATGTCTGTATTGGCAAATTCTAACAACAAAGTACAATTGTACACATTCCAAATGTAAAAGTGTAATAGATAAGAGCTTACTGAATGGATTCAACTTTTCTTCAACCAAGAAATTAACCAAAATGGTGAAGCTCGTCATTAACAAGAACTCTCAAGTATCTCCATTATATTAAAATGAGGCTTTTTAAGGGCCAGAAAGATGTAACACAATCTAACTCTTCTACACATTTCACTAGTAGAAATACTTTCATCTTAAAGCTAACAGCCCACTGAGAATTGTTTTTTAAATAAATATTTCAGTCCATTTTTAGTGCTTGAGAAGACCAGTGTAGCAAATGCAAAAATGACACTATGATGCAAATATTACCATCCAAACCTAATGCCTACAGTTGATACCAGAGCATAATCTTCAGTGTTATTTTTGGGGTTCATCTTGAGGCTGCTCTACCTTTTTGGCTCTAACTTCAGAGATCTGAATGCTTATTTTCTTTTTACCTTCACTCATTTTATTTTCAAAGGACAAATTGGATGCTGCCTGCTATTACATTCTTATGAAAAAGACACTTAACTTGAAGGTCATTTTTATTAAATATGATCCACGTACTAGTATCACTTTATTTATTTATTTATTTACATTTTTTTCCCTCCCCTGGTTTAAATACTAGGAGAGGAAAAAAAAAAAAAAAAAAAAAAAAAGAGAAATGTAGGAAAGTTAATACCTTTGCAGAAAAGAAGGGAACAAGGACATCAGGGTGTCATAGGTTAATGATTGCCGAGACAAGTAACACTGCCAGTGTACATGTTCAAAGGTATCTGCTATTACACAGCTCTGGAGACAAATTATCAGAGTAAATATAAAATGTTGTGCTAAGACAAATGATGGGCTAACGGCAAGTCAGCTCTGTTCTTAGAGCATTGGCATCTCTGCAAATGTGAGATTAACCAATTTTGGTTCCAGGAACTGAGCAAACAGATTGCAGCAGGCCTTAGGGATTTTCAAATCACACTGAAGACACATTAAGATATTATCTTGCTTCATATATCCCTATTTCCAAGCCATTCATGACTGACAACTATTTGATAATCAGCTGGCGTTAGACCAAATAAAAATATTTTAGGTACCATGATAGAGGACCTCAGGCAATGTTTCTTCCTGTCATACCACAACTACAATGTTTTTTTCTTATAAACATATTTCTGGTGAGATGCCCAAGGCAAGAAATCAGAGAACAAAATATGCAGAGTTTTCTTCCTGCTCTTTTGGGGAGGTCAATAATTAGCCAATAAGCCATAAAGAAGAGATTAGCAAAGTGAGCAAACAGTAAATGAAGACTTGCTGTTATGTCCCAGATTTCTTCTGGGTCTCATTACACTCCATATACTCACTTGCTAGTTCATATCACAAATAGCCAACAGCTGTCATCATGGTGGAATTACTGGCCAGCAGTGGTGGGACAGCCAAGATTTTTAAAAGGGTCAAATAACTGGAACTGAAAGTTTCCAGAGAACAGGTGCTGATCCTCTTTACAGACCGCCTCAAGGTGTCTCAAGTTAGTCACAAAGCAAGGCATCCAAAATCACTAATCCCTTCTGAAAAATCTTAACTCTGCTGTATACATAGCCACTTAAACAGCACTGATACAACCTGATAGAGAACGAAAGGTAACTCTGCTCCATAGAAATGGATGAGTCACAGATGTGGTTTCTGCAGCAATCTTACTCAGCTCCTCCTCCTCGAGGCCATTTCAAATGGCGGTTTGTACGCAAGTAGTAACTTCCAGCTATTAAGTAAATGTAATAGTCTTTATCAAGAAACAAATCCCCTCTGTTGTCAGGACATTGACTCACACAGACAGCGGGATGGCAAATGCCACAGACTATCTGAGAACAATTACACATTTGTTCTCTCACATACAATGAATTTTCATTGCAGTGATAAGAAAGCAATAACCAAATCAGTGGTCTACCTTGTTTGCATCTGTCTCCTAGGCCTGAAATAAGACTGTACTGGGTACCTCAAAATCAGATATGTCTGTTGTGGTGCAGAACAATTGCCTATGAATCATAAGCAAAACCAGTGTTCACCACTTCCTACAGTCAGAAGTTCCAAAATGACAGTGATGGAAATTTGCCTTTGGAAAGGTATAAAAATGGAAATGGATCCCCCCCCCCCCCCACA